TCAAGCAGATAGCAAGGGATAGCCCTGCCTCTGCTAACACCAGGGAGAATTAGATCACTGGGTACATGTATGTGATCAACAGCTGGCCACGTTGGAGGCTCGCTTTTTCCTCCCCATATAACTTAACCTCTCATTCCACAGAACAGAGAATCTGTATGGAAACCCCTGGCATCCGATGTGTGGCCTGATGCTCTTTTGCCCACTAAATGCTCTCCAGGAACCTTTGTCATCCTTTTGCTTTTTTTCTTTTCCTCCTCTCTTTACATCACTGTCTCTCTTTCTTCTTCAACAAGTACTGTGGGTCTGTCTCCATCGTAAAGCCCAGAGCCATTCAGGTACTCCTCATCTTTGTTGTACTGCTCTGGCCCAGAAGAAGGCATGGAGTTTTCAGAAATTGAGCCATTTTTCACATAACCTGGCAAATTCCGGTGTCCATTGAGGGTCCCTGGTATAAGTCTCGTATTGAGATGGAGGGCAAGTGCTCCTCTTGTGGCTACATTTGTGATGCTGGTGTGGGAAACCATTGGTCCATAACTGTAGGTTGTGCTCCCACTTCGTGCTTTCCTTTTAAAGTCAAGTGCTAATGTCCACCTGCTCCATGACTTCTTTATTTCTGCTTGAACCTGGGAGACAAGGGAAGGTAAAAAAAAAAGTATGAGAGGTGGGAAAGAGGCACAGAGTATGAGAAGGAGGTAGTACCCATAGACAATGTACAAGGAATTCTCTGGGGAGCGAAATAGGAAAAAACCCCAGGAAATCCATATTAAATTTGCCCTTTCCAAATGAAATGTCTGAAATGGCTGAATGGCTGAAAACCTCTAAATGAAAATGTGGGTTAACTCTATCCCAGCGCTATGGGATGGTGAGTAGCACATCCAGGAGAAAGTCCTCTCAATGCACCATGAGGATCAAGTATAAATGAGATGGAGCCAGCTTCGGACAGAGTTGCTAGAAATTTCCTCTAGGAAGGAGTTAGCTGACTACTTAGACTGACTATTCCACTTTTAGATGACTAAAGTTAGGATGAGATCAGTTCCCCAATGGTACGGATTTCATCTTGGTTTTATGCTGCAGAAAACAAGCAGTTGCATTTCCCCTTAAAATCCTTAAATTTGGGGCAAACCAGCTTTAAGCTGGACCATGAAAGTAGCTCTGTTCTTTTCTGGTGTGCATCCACTGACCATTCTAGTTTTCAGACGTGGAAGGAATTGATGGAAACAAAGACATTAAAGCATATCACTCTAGAAAGAGGCTAAAAAAAGGTCAGAAAAAGCCTGGACAGTCAAAAAGGCTTGCTGGTTAGGCAGCTACTCTATCAATTCACTTTTCTTCCTGCTACAGCTGTTCAGGACTAAACAACACTTGTGCCTGGAAAAGAAAACATGTTTTTCCTCCATCAGCTACTTCCAGTGGCTCACTTATTGGTGACATATTGACCTGGATGTCTTACATGGCCAAACCCAAGGGCATGAACTTTCCACATGGACTGATGAATCTTTCACCAGGTGCGAAACAGGTTGTGTCTCTAGAACAAGTGAGGATATGCTGACGTGCATCCCCCTCACCATCTCTGTGTGAAACCACCCAGCCAAAGGAGGGAAAGAATCAAGCAGCTGGTGTCTTACCTCTCCATTGCAAAAACAGTATATGATGGCAACAAAAAATCCCTGGAAAGAAGAAGAAACAACATATTAATGTGAGTCTTGCTGCATGTGATTCCCCTGAGGGTGCTGCTCAGTGTGCTGAAATCAGTGACATTCGTAATTTGCTGTATATAATACACATAAGAAACCTTGCATTGTTCAGTAGTTCATGAGACAGAGAAAGGTAGACATTTCTTTATAGATAAAGTAGATTAGACTATGTGAACCCTGATGGCTCATGGTTTATCTAACGGGTCTATTCTCACCCCCAGATCTTTTGCAAAGGTTCTGAGATGCTGATGGGTACCCTGGGAATGTGGTGAGGTTTCAAACTTATTGGATAAACATTTCCAGTGTTTTACGTGTAGCTGATCCTGCTGCAGGATGGGAGGGTGGGCTATAATTGTAATGAGTCTTTTCCAGCTCTGGCTGTGCTTGGAGCAAAACTGGCTGAGCGGGATCAACAAACGAATTCAGATGTGAGCAAACCATCCACATATTTTTGTCGGCCAGTAGTTTATTCAGGTCTTGCTGAGGTCTGCACTCAACAGGAACTGTGCAAGTGCATGGGTGCAAGCTTGGTCCCCGTCTCTCTCACAGTTTCTTTCAACTGTGATTTGGCCAGAACCACCATCCACCTCTCATCAGCCACGCTGGTCAACCATGGTGATAGGTAGCAGCGTGCAAGTCAAAGATTAATCTCTCAAGGAAGGCTGTACAGTGATGACCAAACACTGCTCTGCTTGCAGAATGTTGCATGTTCTTGCTGCTGTGTCTTTTGCAGGACCAGTCCTGAACCTGCCTTTTGCTCAAACCTAGAACTGAGGAACCCATTCACAGATCTGAAAGACAGCTTTGGACAAGAAAATTGAAAGCTAATACGAAACAACGGGTCTCTGTGCATTTCTACCAGCTTACGCCTAACCTGGATCTGAAGGGACTTATTTTGTTATCTTGGAATAGGAACATTTTTTTGTTGGACACACTGAGCCTTTATACATTGTGTTTTGCAAATGTAGAACATACTCGATGCTAAAATACTGTCAAATCACCTTGTGGATGAAATCTGGTGTAAGAGCCCTGCTTCCTAAGACAACCTTGCACTCTCACTTCCCTCCTCTCCCCATTGAAATTCCCACAGTTTACCCCCACAGTTTAACAGTTACAATACCTGGAAAGAGTTGAACAGCATTTCATAGTGCATTTGAACTTGCCAAAGAATCCCTGACACATCTGTGTATGGCATAGCCATGAAAACAATATAGTGAACGCCAAACAGAGGCATAAGGACGAGGGTAGATTTCAGCAGCTTCCTGTAGCGGTAAAGAAAGAGAAAGACACAGAGGAAATTAGTGGATGGAGTGAACCTCCCAGTCAAGCCTGTCCACCTCCTATCTCAGGCACAACGTGACCTCTTGGCTAAGCTTGGATATCTTACATTTACACAGGCACCGTGTCCACCTGCAGTTTCAACATGTTGCTTCTCTTCTGGCATGTGACACAACCCAGGCCGTCCTCTGCCATGTCTTGATGTGCTAGTCTAACCCTTTCCACGTGCACATCCCCATGTGATGCTGCAGATGAAGACACTGAGATGTCATTTTTAAGCCTCACCTGTGCTTCGGGTCAGGATCATGTGTAGAGGGTGGAAGGGTGACTGGATAGAAAGATGCTCTGCTGCTTCCAGCCCTCAGCCTCTGACTGGCCCTAAATGCTCTCGTCCCTAAAGAATGGTTCTCACTCAGCTCATGACCAGATATAGTCCTACACAGCCTAGAGTAGCTGATATTGCTGGAGCAAGGGAGACAGGTTGGACTAGATGGCCTCCAGAGGTCACTTCCAACCCCAACATTCTGTGGTTCTGTAATTCTGCCTGCTTATCGAGGCAAGACGAAAAGGTCCACCCTGGGTTAGCGCCTCCCATGCAATGAGCAGGGCTGGTGGAGAGGGACCTGCATCTGGGAGCAGGATTACTCTAGGTATTAGGGGGAAGAGGACAGTGCACTATGGAGGGAGCAGAAGGTGAATACTCTTGAGAGGTGCTTTGGACTGCAGTATCACTTGGAAAGCTCCTTTTTAGAGAATCATAGAATCACAGAATCACAGAATGTTATCCATTATAGATCCATCGCAGCATAGGACCTGTGTTGAGGACCTGGCTGGAGGTGCAATGCAGTACTTGGCTGGGTTTGCTCCTAAGGGGACCAGCCTTGCCTGGAACTGATATTAATTGAAGGATTAAACCCTCTGCCAAGAGTTACAGCAATCCACCAAGTGCAGGCAATTATTGAGAAGGGCAGACATCACTACCTGGTACCTCCTCTGTCCAGCAACTGGAAACCACTGGGGGAATTTAACACATTAAAAGGAGAAAGCTCCATCCAAACCATAATTAATAGCGAGCTGCGGCCAAGGAGGAATAAATAAATAGATAAATCAGAGCCCTGACAGGGTAGCAAAGAAAAATGGTGAGGTCTTTTCCTGCCAAATCTCGTTCCTGCTTCATGTGAAACATCTTGTGTTTGGAGAGGGAGATGTTAGCAATGAGCTCATGCTTTGCAGCCCAAACCATTCTGCTCTTCCTTCTTTCACATGTGTCATCCTGGTCAGTCAAGCTCAGGAAGCCTTGGAAGCCCTCAAGGTGCCGAGGTGTCTCAGCAACCTGCTTTTTCTATCTGGTTTTGACCATGCTACAAATATCCTAAATTATCAAGAGACAAGAGCTGGCAGAACAAAGGAAAACAAACAGAAAAAAACCCACAAGGAAACACCAGATTTCCAGCAAAGAGTCAGGAATCCCTTAATCTTGCCCCTTCTTTTTTTTTTCAGCAAAGGTGCTGAAACAACCACTGAAGGGCAGATTTAACAAATAGATCCAGTTTTGCAAAGCACAGGAGAGAAATAAATAGAAATAAATAAATTGGTACAAGTGTTAGGGGCTTCAACAGGATAAGTAATGCTTTTAATTTTGCTCTCCTGGTTCAAGGCCAGCATAGTTGCTTCCAAACTGGCTGAAGAGACTGAATTCCTCTCTTTAACCTATGAGGCAGGTCCCCCAAGGTTGGATTTGAAACTTTAGGAGATGTTTAAGCTGCTGTTGATTTATTCTGCTTTACCAGACTTGGAAGACAGCATCCTTCTCACCTTACTTCAGGTGTCTACACTATGAACTAGTCAGCCTGGGCTCCCTGCATAGTCAAGGGGGTGAAAGAAGGACTTTTGACATCTCCCCAAAAGTAAAGAGGGTATATGACTCACCTGTACTGTTGTCTTGAGTCACACCTCCCTGCATTCGTCTCTCGTAGCTTGGTTGCTAGGACTCTGATAATATTGATAAAAAGAATAAAATTTACCTGGAAGAGGTGGGGAAAAAAAACACAACAAAGAAAAGATAATTTTTAAAAAATGTCCAGATGATGATAGTGTTGTTTGGTCAATGCTTTCCCCAAGATGCATCAAGGGGCCGCAGCAGTGACCTGATCATGCTGTGCAAGAAGCTCCTCTTGGGAGAGCTCGTCCTCTGGAAGGGATGAGCTCTCCAGGAAAGACCCAGTGTTTGTTGGGATTGAGAGAGAGGAGGGAATGGTTTTCTCTGACAAGGTGTGGGTTTCTCACATGGAAACATCTGAGCTAGCCAGCAAAGCCAGCCATCTGATAATTGATATGGTATCAATGTATAAAGCAGTGCTTACCAGACATTTTGAGGTATAGACTACAGACAATTCTCAGTATTTTTCACATATTTAAAAATTCACAGTATTTTTAAGTCCATACAGCGATGTGGGTCATTTTTATGACCTCCTAGATCTCTCAAACTTAGTTTGGAGTCTAGCGAGCAGGCCAAAATTGGGTTGTATTTGCCTCTTGCAGCTCCCCCAGGTGAAGATCTCCTCAGGCTAAAAGAAGCATTAGTAGAAGGTCTTCCCATATTTCCACGTGTGGAAGGAAAGAAGAGCAAGCAAACTGCACCATGAGGAAGACACAAGAGTAGAACAGACTGGAGATGGCAGATCAAGAATGCAGAAGGGTGATATAACTACAAAACCTTTGTCGTATGCTTGCTGTTCAGTCTCCCTCAGAGGAGTGTTTAATATGGACCAGAAGAGGACAGGAAAGAAGTAACACCTACTTCCTATGCAGGAAGCCACTTCTACAAACCCATCTTGTGGCCAGCTGCTCAACCGAGTTAACCTAGTCCTACAGGAACGTGCTTATGGTGACCCATAGAATTGCTGAGAATTGTGGAGACTGAAAAAGACCTCTGAGATCATCAAGTCCAGTCTATGACTCAACACCATCATATTGGCTAGACCATGGCCCTAAGTGCCACATCCAGCCTCTCCTTAAACACCTCCAGGGACCGTGACTTCACCACTTCCCTGGGCAGTTCATTCTCACGCAGGTGCCACTTAACAGAGACGAAAAATGGGGAGATGTTTGAGGGATTCTTAGTTTTTTGGAGCTCTTCAGAAGCTGGTTTCACTGGGGCTGGGATTACACCTGCGGCTCCCCCAGACAAACCCGTTTTTGGGACTATGGCAAGGCCACAAGCAGAACCACCGTGTAACTATCTGGACTGGGCAGATCCACATTGCTGGGCTAACGGTGGTGCCTGTGGGTTTCTCTGGAGGCTTGCTGTGGTCATTTGACTTCTCAGATACCAGTAAAGCAGCATTTGAAGGAAACAAATTAACATGCCACACACAGGCTCATGATTTTACGCCAGAAGGGACCATTGTGAACCTCTAGCTTGATCTCCTCCAAAACGCAGTCTATAAGACCTCCTTGTATTCATTTTTGCTTGAGCTATAGCAGATCTGGGTTTCAGTGTTTCCATGACGGAGATCCTACCACAACCATTGGTAAGTCGTTCCAACGGTTAATTATCCTCACTGTTAAAACAAGCAGTTCCCTGAGCCACTGAAAGAACACGGCCCGGTTTGCTATGGCTTTGTCTTCTGTGGTTGGATTCCTTCTCCTTTAATGAGGTGCAAGTTCATTTTGAACAGCTCTCCTCTGTGTTAGAGAGGGGAGTAAGACACCCTTCCCCTTGAAGGGGCGCAAGAGGAATTTCTCTCCAGTATCTCTTTGACTGTTTTCATGAGGTCTGTGGGAATTTAACAGCCGTGCAACCCCATTCCCTCACTTACATTTGGTTGGAATTTACTGACTGGCACAAAAATTGTGAGGGGGGGATGGATAGACCGAGAGGCAGAGAAGCACAAAGCCTGGGGGCATATAATTCATTTGCATTGGAAACCAATCTGAAAGGAAACAAATAATTAAAAAAGCAAAAAAAAAAAAAAGCAGGCTTTATTTCTCATTTTTCTAGCTTCAAAAGCTCGAAAGTGGGATGTTGTTCTATATTTGTTGACTAAGTTGAAGATGTCCAACCTTATCACAGTCAGGAGGAAAACTCCTGTGACTTCCTGAAACATACGCTAAGTTTTAAAAGAAATCCAGGCAGCTGAATAACATCAAAGCTAGCAACAGAGTGGAGAGATTTTAAGCCCCTCACCCTCCAAATTCTCTGCAAGTACATCCAGAAAATGTCTCACTTGGTCCAGCAACATATGACCAGCCAGTGTGGGAATTGAAAAGGCAGCCAAGTGAACAATATGAACCCACAGAAATTAAACAGAAACAACCCACAGAATATTTCTGCATGATAAATAGCTGCATTTGCCAGCACAGCCAGGGTACAAGCACAGCAGAGCCTCATGGAGAAACATTATTTTTACAAGGGCGAGCCTCAATTGAGCTCTTTCTCCTCTGCTAATTGGGCTTTAAATTAAATGCAATAGGGTTGCTGGTATTCATCTAGTTGAACTACCTGAACTTTCTTCTCCATCCTACTATTCCATTTCCAGTGACCACGATGTGGGCTTAGCGATTTGTTTCTTCCAAGGTGCAGAACTAATAGCTAGACCCAGGCAGAGAATTTCTACCAAAAGGAAATGCTGAAGAAGAAGAAACCCCTCCGGGTCCAAAACAGCTCATCTAATTGCACATATGAGCATATTTGCCTCAGAAACTTTCCTGCTGTTTATATGCAGATAGTCTGATTTTCTTCTCGTCCATACTGATACAGAGCTTGATGCAAACCCCTTATAGTCTCTGAAGACTATAGAGAGATTCTTATGATTCTCTTCAGCTGCTCGTAGGTGAATGTAAATGAGAACTAGGATGTCTGGGAGTGGACAAGCTCTTCTGCGTGCACTCACCTGGCCATCGGAAGATGGAATAATGGAGAATCATAGACAAAAACAGAGGAAGGAAGGAGGGTAATTCATGAAAAATATGAAAGCAGGTTCTTTAGCTTATTAGGGCTCAGCTCAAGCAAGCACACAACTATCCACTGAATTCCCCTTGAGCAGATAATCACATCTTATAATGACCTCTCCAGCTTGTGAGAGCTCAGTCCTGTGTCTGGATAACGTCACTTATATTCTCTCCATCTCCTCTGGCTCCTGGGCGGGGGCTGAAGTAATTCTCCATCAGCGATTAATGTCACGTCCAATCATAGCTGAGGTGGTTTGACTTTCATTCCCAACTTCGACATATCCCAAGCTTTTTTGGCAGTTCAGAAAGACAAGTCTGAAATGGTCAACACTGAAGCACTCCTGGGGAAAAGGTTTCGTCCAGCTACAGACCTCAAATTCCAGTTCTTTCCACTGGAGATGCCTGGTGAGAATGTGTTAGGACCCGGGAGGGTTTCCAGTACCACATGGGCTGGAAATACTGGCTTGTTTCATTTCGTTAATAGCTTGTTTAGGGTCTTACCCCTGTGTCATTTTTCTTTCCTAAGCAAAAAACGAGGTTGCTTATAAACCCCTTGTCCATATGCAGTTACCAAACTTGCAGGCAGGTCAAATATAAGTCCTTAAACTGGATAGTTAGAGATTTGAGTAGGGCAGCCTGGCTCAGCCCTTCCCAATGTGCCAGCATCGACCAAAGGCACTGCTTCCCACCATTTGCAACCAACCAATACTCACCACGATAGCTGCCAGGATGGGCACCTGAATAATCCATTTTAAATTGCCAGCACTCAAGTCCCAACACCTGAGAAAAATGGACATTCTGTCAGGAAATCGTTGGTTACAAAGAGGAACAGACACAAGTGTCTTTTGGGATAAACCCACCCTGGAAAGATGGAAACTTCCACAGCCTGGTGTGGTGGGAGGACCTAGCTCTAACCCTGCCTTCAGGCAGCACGTCTTCGAAATAGCCCTGCTCCTGTTAAACTACACAAAACTGAAACCACTATGAAGCACATTTAAAGTTATGCTCTCCAGATGTGAAACAGCTCTTTCCACAGTCAGCCAGAATTCTCCTTTCTGGACAGGAACACATCCTTTTCCACTTCTTCATCTCCTTATCAAAAAACCTCTGCACTACTAGTAACCCAGCTTTCCCGAAAACCAAAGAAACAGAAATGACCTAATATTACCCCTTGGTAATGTGGGGAGAGGTCCTGTCTGAAGGTGTGGTGGAGAGAGTCTTGTGATTCTACACTCAGTTCCTGCACTTCCCTCAGCCCTGCTCTTGCAGTGAGACCCAGCCATGCCCCACAAAAGCCTTTATATCCTTTTCATCGTCAGTCCTTATCTAAATGAGGACTGGAAGGGCAAACAGTGGTGTGGATGTTGGGCTACGGTCCTCCATCTGCCAAGAAGAGCCTGAACAGTATTTCCTCCCAGATGTTTCCAGCAGTCGTTGGATAAGGTCACTCAGTGTTAATTACTCCCTCTGAATTCTCTCCAACCGCGGAGAGAGGAGTGCCACAGGCTTTTCTTTATCTCAGCCAGACAGCCCCTACATGGCAGCTGCAGTTTGCATTTCACGGGCCAAATGCTGCCCAGGCAGCTATTCAAGGAAAGCGAGAGGTAGGGACAAGGAAACCACCAGCGCTGACTGAAAAGGCTCTACGAGGACGAGCCTGAGCCAACGCGGACACGTCACACTTTGGTAGCTGTGCTGCTCCATCCTCCCAAGCCTGGGGCTGAAATCTCATTTGGAAAGCAGCAGTTTCTCCCAGGCAAAGTCTGTTTGAAAAGTAGGGACCCCCACACTTTTGCTAGCAGATGAAACCTGTTGTGTGGTCAAGTCTGTTCATTGTGTGCGTGTTGGAAATGTGATTTTTTGGGGGTTGGAAGATTGGATGCTCTGGACCCTTCATTCAGCACACTAAGAACAGGAGGGCTGAGGGTGCACGTGTAGGAACAAAGAAACAGCTGATCCAGGTCTTGTTTCTGACAATATACAGAAGCTGATATCTGAGATGGAAGAGGTGAGCAGTTAGTAATACTTTTCTAGAATATTCTTCCAACAATTTGCTGGTCAGGATGGTTTCTTGAGCCAGAGCATTACTAATGAGTTTCTAATGCTTCTAGAGGCATTTATCTTCCATGAATTTGTACAAGTGAATTTTAAACCTAAGGACGTGCTGGCATCCACACCTCCCACAGCGAGAAGTCAGAGCTTCACCACCTCATCAGCACCTTTGGCTGTGCTGGAGCTGTTGTCTCCCAGTTTGATTCCCACTCATTCAGAATTTGAAAGATCTGTGTCACTTGAAGTAACCTTTAGCCCCAGGGATAACAGCCATGGGTGCCCACATTTATAAATTTTTGTAAAATGAAAGGAAGCCTTGGAAAGTTGCACCCGCTTTACACCTCACTGCTACACATCCCCTCAAAGGTTTGCTAACTTCATACTAAAAATCCCTTATGGCTTTGTCTGTTTCCTCTATTCCTTCATTCACTCACAAAGTCATCATTGCCCAAAGCCCCATGAAATCATCCCAGGTAAAAATGGAGAAAAAAAAATCCAACGTGACTTACTCTGTGTCGGCTAGAGTGGCTCTCACGCTGGCCCACGCTGTAACAAATACAGCAGGGAGTCCTGCAAAAAAACACAGGGCAGGTGGGGTGAATAGGGAGCCAGAGGCCAACATTACAGTAAGACCAGGTGGAGTGGGCTAGAGGACGGTGGAAGAAGTAGATTTTAAATATTAAAGCATAATTTAGGCCTGCAAAGCCTGATCTTGGTCTTATGTCTCTTCTCTAGTCCAAATGGTAAAGCAAACAGTGCCAGGGAACACTTTCTGGATGACAAATGACATGATCTGGGGACATGTTAGTGAGGTGGTTTAGTGGTGGACCAGGCATGGCTAGGTTAGCAGTTGGATCTGATGATCGTAAAGGTCTTTTCCAACCCAAATGATCCTATGATGTCCATCCTATGGAATTCTCCTAGCTTTTAAAATGGAGCAGCTTGCTTTCCCAACTTGCTGGCCAGGAGTAGTCCAGGCTTAAGCTATCTCCTGATTCGTGCTTGGGAGATATCCAGCTGGTCTGGGCCTGAGATGGGTCATGGATTTGCGAGCATAAATTATCAGGTCTTTCCTCTTGCATTGCTTTATTGGTCCATACCCTGTCATGCTCAAACATGGGGGACTGATAGCTGCTCTCACCAACTCATTCAATTTGAAGCAGGGAAGGGTTTCGTGCAGTACACGATGCAAGATGGTTTTTCCCTTCCCCTGCCATTGAGGAAAGGTGGATTGGGAGTCACGCTCAGACCATTTCTCCCAGCACAGGGCTGGATGGATTAGAAGCTCTGTTAAGTGTGAGAAGCTTGCTGCATGAAGGAGATAAATTCTGAAATTTAGGGTAAAGCTTGCAAAATACCCCAGCCAAAGGTTCACTCCCAAAGGAACCATCCTTATTTCAGCACAGTTACTCTGGGCATCATCTTTCCCCAATCACCAGTATCAAATGTAATCTTCTATTTATTTTTTTTAGGGTCCAGTTCTGCTTTATTTGTACAACTGAGTCCCCTACTGGCTTCCCTTAAAAGGCAGAATCAAATCCACAGTAGCTTCTACAAATTCAGGAAGAATAGCCCCTTTCAGGTGAATAAAAAAAATATTAAAAAATAAATAAAGGCGACATTTATCACCGATGACTGTAAATATGCTGTTCACAGTCGAAGCTCATTGGGGCTCGGCGTGCATAAGCACACGCTTAACTTTCAGCATGCACTTAAGTCTCATTAGGGTGCTTAAAGGCTTTCCTGACCACGGGTGCTTTCCTGAGCCGGGGTGTGGAGCAGGGACGCCTGTCTCATACACACATGGACAACGGGGCCGTTATCTTGGTTGGAACCTTTAAATGCCATGGTAATATAAGAAAGCATAAATAATTAAACACAGAGCCTCACTCAGGACCAGTGCAGCAGCGCTGCCTACAAAGATACATTTATAAGGAGTGCTAAGGAGTGCACCCAGCTTTACAATCCCCTGCGAGGCCTGGCACTGGAAAGAAAATACTTCACCTATTGCACTGGGAGTGTGTTGATAGTGAGGGCCTGGGGAAGGTGATGATTTATGGTAAAAAGCGCCAGGTATTTCCCCCCTCATTGTTAATTGCCTATCTATGAAAAATATGCACATGCTGGGGATTGCTGGCTGAGTTATCAAAGGCCTCAGTGCCTACAACTTTGCTGATATTGTTGGTGATATTCCAGTTTACACCAGCTGAGAAATGGGCCATGTCGAAAGGCTGACGTGACGGTGGGTGTTCACCCACTGTTGGGAGGCCCTGAGTTTGAAAGACGGATTGTCTCAGAGATTTGGATGCGTTTGACCCGTACTTAGTCCTCTCTAGCCTGTCCTGCACTTCAGAAGGGACACTGTTCCCATTCATACTGACCCTGTGCTGTGTTCAAGGTTCCTAGCGACAATAAAATATACAGGAGAAAATAATTATACCTAAAAGATCCCTATGTGTGGATTTATTGTGCCCTGTGCGCTGCTGCCTCACTCCATTCAGGCAGGCTTAGGAAAAGGATCCTTGACATTTTCTGCAAAACACACAAAGTCAGTTCCTGGCACCGGTTTTATTGCTACATCTGTCTTTGTGTTCAGTTTTTGTAGTGTGAACAGTCGCAAATCTACTTAAATTTACAAAAGGTTGGTATGAGTCCTCTCTCTCTCTCTCTTTCCTCTGCCTCCTTTTTGGATTCTCTTTATGTCAATGTAACTCGGAGCATTTGGGCCATCACGTAATTTCTAGAGCTCAGTCTTTTCCTCCCGCTCTAGTAAGCTAGTCTTGCAACGTGAAAAATCAGCCTTAGCTTTGCCTCTAGCACCTCTTTTACTTTCAGAAGGTGATGATTGACTTTTTGGTATCTTCAATAGAAAGTCCTGGTCTGTGATGCCCCAAGACCCACAATCCTTTCTGTCGGAAGGACTCACAGAGCTCACTGATGGGAAAACCGTTAACTCAGAAAATCAGGACTGAGGTTCTCCAAGTTAAACGTGCAAAGAATCATAGAATCATAGAATCACAGAACAATTCAGGTTGGAAAAGACCCTTGGGATCATCAAGTCCAGTCATTGACCCTACACTACAAGTTCACCCCTAAACCACATCACCCAACAACCCATTTAAACAACACTTGAACACATCCAGGGATGGCGACTCAACCCCCTCCCCAGGCAGTCTGTT